ATACAATATTTTTCTTTATCATCACTCAGTTCTGCTTGTCTCTTCTATCTGTGTGCTGCCATGGTCAAGCAGTGATTGGCTGCGATATGATGTTATCACACGAACTGGAGGAGCTTGTTGATGTCAGAGAGGAACCCTGAGCAAGAATCATTGTTCTGTGAATGAGATTCTGTTTCCACCCTCAGTTAAGTAAGACTATATTTTCATTTTTATTATCATTTCTATAGTTTCTGATTTGAGAAGTGAGTGTCTAAAGTGTTTAGTCTCAATAACCATGATGATGAGTCATAATGTTTGTTTTTGAGTGTGAAGAGGGCAGAGAGTCATGATGCACTATATCTGTAGAGTGTTGGTCCTGGGAATATGATCTGAGTGGATGTAGGTGGTACAGTGACAAATGAATGTCATAAGTGTTTCCCCTAGAGTTTTCTTCAGGAGCAGTGGTAGACCCCTGAAATTACTAGTGTGGTGGAAAAAAAGACCTTTTTAATACCACCTAGGATAAAATTTAATACCAACTTCACTGCCATATAATGGAAAATCTGTATGAATTTTAAGAAATAAGACAATTATTAATTTCCAAAGTTACATTTTATTATTATACATTCGTATTTAACACAATAGTTTTTTGGGGTGTGTTTGATAAGATGAAATGAATCAAGGACATCACTTTGTGTTGAAAAGCATCCACACGAAAAGGGAAAGAAGACATGGCTGGTAGTATTGTCTTGGCAGGAAGCCATCTGACTGCGTAAGGAGCAAGCTCGTTGATGTGTGCAGGAAGAGTAGGCCAAGAGCTCTCCCGTCTGACTGATCCACCAATAGGAGAGAAGTTCACCCTTTGAAACACAGCCCCTCCTCATTTGCATAATGAGGCAGAAATGCATAGAGAAATGTAAAAAGGACAGGCAGAAATAAATACCATTGGGGAAATAAATAGGATAGAAAATGCAACTGAACAATAAAACACAAAAATATTAAAACACACATAAATAAATACACTTAAAAAATAAGTAATTAATAAATAAAGTTGAAGATTATAACGGACAATAAATAAATAAAAGGTCATTATTACAAAGGTGAATAAGTAAAGAAGCTAATTGAAATAGATATACATTTATGTCTCCTTGTATAATTTAATTACAGTCTACATTTATTTATTTACTTTTTATTTTTTTGTGCATTTAATCGGATGCTTATTTATTTATTGAGCATTTATTTATTTATGTATTTATTTCTGAATTTGTCAGGATCAGTACTCCATACTCTTAAGGTGTGAAATCAAAAATACAAAATAAATAGTGCAGTATGAGTTGTTACAATTAGTTACACCGTGGCTATATAAGGTGATGTAATGTAATATAATATGTCAATATAAATGTCAATTGCCTCAGTGATTATTCATCCTGTTCTGTTTTTGCATCTAAAGGCTGCTTGAAATATAGTATTGGCTTGAAATATAGTATTGGCTTGAAAGCAGCGGGGATAAGGAGTTGGGCTCTGTTTTTTTTTCCCTCATCCCAGTGATCAGCCCATCTGGGTGATGTAAGTTGAATGTGCGTTAGTTAGATGTTTCCATTTACATTACGTTACACTACAACAGCGGCACAACGGCGACACACAGACATCGTTTTGTTGCATTACATTGTCTTCACCAGCAGATGATAGTGTCGGGCATTTTCTGAATGAAACTTCGAATACTGAAACATTTTCGACACAACTGACGCTTCGCTAAGCCACGCCCCGAATACGCAGCTGGCCGATCACAACGTAGTATAGTCACGCACTAACTGAGGTCCGACACTTTCATGGCTGTGCTCCATTGACTCGTATTCAAAAAACTTTGTTTTCTAGCTTTTTTTGGCTGTATTTTTCCAAGATATGGTCAAACGCTGTTCTTTGCTACCCAGAGAAGTTGAAAGGAGAAGTATGATTTATTCACTTTCCAAAACCTATAACAAATCCAGAAAAATGTAGACTGTCTATTGTTTCTAATGTAATGTTATGCAGTTTTTCCATTACCACTACCAGCTCAGCTCGCCTCCACTCGACTCAAATATACACAGTATATTTCTCACCTCAAAACTTCTCAGAAGTGGACTTGGTGACTTTCTGTTGCTGGCCTCCGTCAGGCAGGCACAATGATGACGCAGTCAATAGTGACGATTCTCTCTGACCAATCAGTAGTCTGCGGTGTTTTCACATCACATTTTAGTATCGCCTCAGCTCGCTTGGAACCTCAACGGAGGCGATAGGCAAAAAAGTACCAGGAAGCAGGTACAGGCACAACTTTTCCACAATGGAAAACAAAAAAAAGCGAGTAGAATCGAGGCGAGTAGAGTAGAGCTGGTACCGTGCAGTGGAAAAGGCTTTAGTTAGCTAACGCTAGCTAACTTACTACTGAATGTAACGTTATAAAGCCCCATTGTTCTGCTTTTTAATGATTGTAATAATGCATAGAGACCTACCCAGCTTTACAGGAACAGTGTTAATCCTTAATATGGTTGTCCTTTGTCTCAATCGTGAGGTGATATGGTGGTTAACTTTTACTCTGTGATTGGTATGCTGGTCTGTATTTGTTTCACGTCAGTTTGACAGCCTAAATACAACCTTCAAATGTGTGATGCAAACCTTTCTGTCTCCTCTCTATCGCTTTTTTAAATTTTTCCAAAAATATATACAATATTTCTCCAGGAAGTGCAGTCATAGACAGTGGTAGCGCATTCATAAATCCCACACGTCCGAGTTTGTCGGACTTAGCAACAGTAACTAAGGGGGGTGTGGTTTGGTGAAGGGTCAATTATGTCAGAAAGCAATTATGCTTTGGAACGCTTTATTAGGCAATCACTAACCGTAGCTACCCCTGACTTGACAATGGACTAAATCACCAGCGTTATTAGAAATTTAAGATATCGATACTAGTAGGGATGGGACGCTTGATTCTGACGTGTCGACGCTGTGTCGATATCCCGAAGCACAGACGTTTCAAAACACTGCTCCAAAGCGTGGTTCAAAACATCAGTGTCAAACGAGGCTTCGGTGCGTTTCATCCCTGTTTCGACAGGTGGCACATCTGCCGCTTTTACGCTTGATTCACAGTGTTTGGAACAAATCACCACTCATCTGCGTGCCTCTAACTCCCAGAAGGCTTAAATGTGAAGCTAAAACATCCCAACTTCGAGGGTTTTACTGAGAGAAGAAATATTTCAAGAGACAGCAACATATAGAGGGATTGACTGATAGTTCGGCTAGATATTAATACATTAATTGATAGGCCAATGAGAGACATCAATTTGGTACGGATATAATTGGCCTAACATTTTAATAGTGATAGCTTGGATAAATTTAGTGACATGTAGGCCTATAGCCTAGTGATAGAGAAGGTGAAAGAGACAGATAGCTTAGCACTATACAGCCTAGGTGTGTAATAGATAGTTTAGATTAGGTTGGAGAATCCACGTAAGGGATCCCGATCTCTTGAGTGGGAACACATATCATTCACAGTGCAACTGCTGATGCCACTGTAGCGGTTTGAATATTTGACAGATGCTTTTGTTCCAAGGATCCTTTTATTTATTGGCAGGTGCTGTGTATCTGCACCTGTATATGATGGCACAAAAATACTTATGCATGCCTGCAACAAGTGTTCCATGTGAACAAATCTTTTCCAATGCTTGGGATGTCATTTATAATTTAAAAAACCAGCATAATATTTCTGAATAAAATTATTATTATTATTATTACTTATTACAAATGTGAGACATTGTTCCACTTTTAATTTATCATTCTTGTAAAAAACTTCAACTTTAATCAGCTAATTAATTAAATTTTTAATATAAGTAATTGAATGAATAATAATGAGTACTGTTTATTATTCATTATTATTACACTAGGGCCTATTTCTTTCCTGCTATTTATTATTAAACCTCTGTTAATAAGCTACTGTATAATACTGTAGATATCCACATTTATTATAATTTATTATTATATTCTTAGATTCATTTGTATACTTTATTATATTCTCTACTCAATAACTTCAACCATTATTTCCATTCCTTTTTTGCCTTGCGAGCATCTCTAACAAAGAATTTACCCTTGGGGATAAATAAGTATTCTGACTCAAAAATATGTGGCAATGGTGTAGTGGAGAAGACGCATTCTTTTGGTGTAAGAGACCCGGGTTCGATTCCCACTATGACACATACTAATGTGTCCAAGACACTTAACCCCTAGTTGCTCCAGAGGCCTCTGATATCCTTTATATAGCAATACATGTTTCACGTCAGTTCAACTAAGCGTCAACTAAATGACTGATTTGGCCTGCTTATGAAACAACACACAGATGTGTTTTATTGAAACACACTTTTATTGCAATCCCCATCTGCTTTCTCTGACAATCTGAAAGCCTTTGTGTGTGTATTGATAAGACGTTTAGAATTGTAAACGCTGGTCAGTCATTGTTTCAATGAAACCCCTATGAAGATGTGTCAATATCAAAAGTGACCAGTAGATGTCACTGTGGAGACGGGTGTCAGAGTGTTTTGAAGCCTCGACACAATTCTGGCACAATTGCTTTGAACGTTTCAATGTTTCACAAAGCCTCACTTTGCCCATCATTAGATACTAGTATATGTAAAGCTGTCTAACAGCTTCCATACTACAATTGTTCTTAATGTTGCAAGAAACAGCTGTGCTTTACATAAACTTATTTTTCACAAACTTATCTACCACTTACCAAACTTACCTGTTCCCTTCCTCCCTTGCTCCACAAGGAAGTAAAGGACAGTCATCAATAACAGAGAGCATATGGACTGAATCATTACTCTCTGTTTTTAATGATTTGCTTAGCGCAAAGGTTTTCAAAGTCTGAGATTGAGGGCCTACCCCTCAGAAACAGGTGCCGCCTCACCCCTGGGAGGGATAGACAACAACAACAACATAATAAAGCAGATTCACAGTATCAGGAATAAGCTCCCTTGTTACTATTGACATACTTTAAAACCACTCTGATCATGTTCCCTTCCTCATTACTCCACAAGGAAGTAATAAACGGTCATCAATGACAGAGCATATGACATGAATCATTACTCCCCATCCGCTTCACGCTCAGAAAAGAACATCACGACTCATCATCGTGGTTAGCGAGACCAATCACTTTAGAAACACATTTCTCAAGTCAGAAACTATAGAAATGATCCCTGAAAGTATAGTCTTAGTTTGAAGAACGGTGAAAAAAAGAGGTCATTCACAGGCCAATCGTTCTCACTCAGGGTTCCTCTCTGCCATTCACAAGCTCCTCCAGTTGCTGCTTCTAGTCCAGTCATGTGTGTTTATGTAAATGACACAGCACAGCACAGCCAATCACTGCATGACTCTGACAGCACATGGACAGCACATGGTAAGGAGAGGAAGGCAGTAGTACTGAGGTAAAGAAAACTCAGCTAGAAAAAGTCTTAAGTGACAAAGTAAGAAAAGAAAAGTTATGAAAAGTTACAAAAACTTTAAACTCAAAGTTTAAAGCACTGGCAAGACAAAAAGCTACTTTCTCTCACAAACTGGCAGAAGTAAGACAGGCTGTATTAAAGTCCACAGTGTTTCCCACAGGATTTTGTGAGACTATGGTGGGTGGACATCAACCCTCTAGGGGGGTTCAGGGGTGCCCCCCCTGACGAAAAATGTGTGTATTTTAAAGTTAAGTGTATTAATTTGGTACACTTTGCACTTAACATTACTTGATAGTGATCTCACACGTGACAGTTGAAACCCTCAACGCTGTTCAACATTACCGTAATTACCTCAAAAGAAAAGTGGTTGTCTCAAGTCAGATGCCAAAGTGTCTGCGCGAGCGAGTTTACAGCATTTGGGGAGAAGCGGTGCAAAACCGCTTAGAAGTCTTTAATATTAATATATTTTTGCTCAATTTTGAAACTATGATAGAACAAATGAGACTGTGGCGGACCACCATAGTGTTGTTAATTAATGGGAAACACTGAGTCCAAGTTTTCGTGACACTAAGATTTGACCCTGTTCTCATTTGTTATAACTCATCTAGTTTTTAATCATTAGACAAGCTTTTTTTTATGAAGACTAATTGTACTGTGAAGTCTGATCTTCAGACACTGACCTCTCCTCTATTTCTACCTGTTTCCTAGTATATTTGAAAACACTGTATTCTGTTTCTCATAACAGATAAAAATTTATTTTCTGAATGTACAAAACAAAAATTTAACCTTTATTTTTTAATGATTTGTTTGGTGCAAGGATTTTCTGTGACTGTGGGCCTACCCATCACAGTAAGCTTGGAAGAAGTGCTCCTTTGCCCTGGGAATACTACTCCCCCATTTTGCCAGCCTACAATTCATTTTACAATTAACCTATTTCACAGAATCTGGAACAAAATCATAACTTGTTTTATACACTCTATAACCACTCTGATCATGTTCTCCTCCTCATTACTCCACAAGGAAGTAAAGAACGATCATCAATGACAGAGAGCATATGACGCGAATCATTACTCCCCATCGGCTTCACGCTCAGAAAAGAACATCACGACTCATCATCGTGGATAGCAAGACCAATCACTTTAGAAACACATTTCTCAAGTCAGAAACTATAGAAATGATCCCTGAAAGTATAGTCTTAGTTTGAAGAACGGTGAAAACAAGGGGTCATTCGCAGGACAATCGTTTTCACTCAGGGTTCCTCTCTGCTGTCACACATGACAAACACGACCAGCTAATGTGTAGAAAACATAGTACAACCGTAACAAAACGACCATTATACAACTTTAGTCTAAACCGCTCTTGATTTATCGTAAGAGTTGAATAACATAAATCCCACAAGGCTTTGCGGTGTGAGTCACACCTTAAACTCAAAGTTTAAAGTACTGGCAAGACAAAAAGCTACTTTCTCTCACAAACTGGCAGAAGTAAGACAGGCTGTATTAAAGTCCACAGTGTTTCCCACAGGATTTTGTGAGACTATGGTGGGTGGACATCAACCCTCTAGGGGGGTTCAGGGGTGCCCCCCCTGACGAAAAATGTGTGTATTTTAAAGTTAAGTGCATTAATTTGGTACGCTTTAAATGCAAAATTAAGAGGTTAGATCTATGAAGAACTTTGGACTCCTGTTTACAATTCTGTGCCCTAGTAAACAATTTGATAATAAACACACTGTATAGATATAAATAGTGATGAAACAGCAAAAAGGGCAATTCGTGTAATGTTTTTTAGCAACCCTAAATAAAAGAATAATTTGTAAGAAATTCCCCTAATATTTTATTTTGCTTTTAATGGACATGTAACATATTTTATACATACTGTAAATATAATCCATTTAATCTTATTTCCATTCTGTATACATTGTTCTAACACCTTATTTTGAAAATCTGATTTTGTCACAGGTGTATCCTCCATCCTCGCACTACATTCACCAAGGCCGATTTTGATAAATTATATTGTATGTCGTGCTCGTATTGCTTGCTAGAGCCCGACTGAGCTGGGAATATTCAGTCTGGTGCCGATTTTGATATTTGAGGATTTTAAAATCCGTTATGTCGATATAATCCGTGCATGGTTCGTTCTATGATTATTTCATTTCAAAACCAAATAAACAAGCCGTTTTTCGTTTCTTCTGTTTTAAAACCAAAAGAGAAAAATGGAAAACCAAAAAACAGACAGACAGAGTTTTTTGGTTTTAACAGAAAAATATTGATTTTGATATTTAATGATTTGTGTATCTTTGTGTGTTACACTTGATAAACCTGCAGCAGATACACTTGGGCGATGGCGCTGCCTGATTAAATGTAATTAAGATGAGCTTGAACATCAACATAAGGGGGTTTTTAGTTAGAAAATCAGGACAATATTATATAGCTGCAGTACCGGAGGCTGCAGCTATAATATTGGCTCAATACTGGTCAAAGATAGAACGGTCAGGGTATCTGTGGATAATCCGTAAACAAAAATACCGTTCATTCGTTTTTTGTTTCAAAATGAAAAACCAAATAACCCTTTTTTGTGTCAGAATCAAAAAACGAAAAATCAACTAAAACGGCCCGTTTTTGGTTTTTTGGTCATTCATTCATTCATTTATCATTATTCCTTTTGGAACAAATAATGAAGAGAGTCTGTGAACTTCAGTCAATTCATTTCTCGTTATAAACCAAAAATGGAAGTCACATGGTCTATTCCTTTTTTGGAAGGGATAGTAACTGGTAAAGCCTTCAAAATAAAAGTAGCCCATGTACCATGCAATTAGAAAGGTGATTTTAGACTAAAACTAAACTAAAAGAACGTTTTTTTAGTAAGACTAAAGTAGCACTGGCTGTAAAAAAAAAACACTTTAGTTAACTGAAATAAAAACAATAAATAATAAAATAATAACTGTTAGGCTGTTAGGGAGAATTAAACATTTGTAAGACCATTGGTGACCTGTAACTTCAGATTAGGACAATTTAATTAATGTTATATGTAGCTTAGGATCGCAGTTAGCCTATTTATTTAAGTTTATATTATTTAATTCATATTTTAATTTCTTAACACATATAACATATAAGATTTTTAAGTCTTCTTGCTGTGTGTGAGTTCCACCAGCAGAGGGCACTCTGCCCCCTTGAGACCTTCTGTGGCGCCAACAGCCAACAAGCTTTTGACCTTTTGACTTGTGTTTATATCAAAGAGAACCAGAGGAAGCTAATCACTGAGTTTGAGGGGTGTGCAGAACTTCACCTGCCTCCAGCTTCTCTTTCTATGGAGCTGCTAAAAACTCTCAGCTTCCACCATCTGCTGTTATGAGTCAGAACAAAACTCTTCCAAAACAAATCTGTGGAGTTCTAAACTTCTTATTTTCCTTTGCTATTTTCGCCCGTGTAAACTACTTACGTTAATTAAGTAGATTAAATATTTTTAATGCAGCCTGTAGTTCTCATAAGTTAGGCATACTTATGTGTGAAACCTGGTGAGCATTAATAGCTCCCGGGTTTTCAGATTTTTTAATGCTTTTTTGGGTTTAATTCTGTTGGATGAACCACCAGATAAAGGCCGTGCTCTGTCCTGTTTATACTTGTGTAAAGTAAAATAAAAGTGAAGTTGAGTCATTTAGTTTTTCTCCCTGGTACTCATCTCATATGATATAAATGTGTATTAAAAGACAGAAGTTGACATCATCTTTATTTACAAAAACAGTGCCCAATTACAAGGTGTGGTTCCCATAAATCGTGATGTAAATATCTGAAAGTGCCAACAGGACCCTTTTATAATGCTGGAGGAAGGAGTGGTGTTCTGCTTTGTCCTGCCAGTCCAGCATTTATCTGAACAGAGAGTGATGGTAGGTGATGGGGCCAGCCTAGATACTATCATCCGTCCTCAAACCTGCACAGGCTCACATCCTACAGGTACTGGGGAAAATCTGGGAGGTCCTGAGATGAGTACCAGGGAGAAAAACTAAATGACTCAACTTCACTTTTATTTTACTTTACACAAGTATAAACAGGACAGAGCACGGCCTTTATCTTGTGGTTCATCCAACAGAATTAAACCCAAAAAAGCATTAAAAAATCTGAAAACTCGGGAGCTATTAATGCTCACCAGGTTTCACACATAAGTATGCCTAACTTATGAGAACTACAGGCTGCATTAAAAATATTTAATCTACTTAATTAACAAAATATATTCAATATTTTTCTGTTTTAGTTTTTAAAACAGAAAAACAAAAAAACATTTGTTTTTTTTGTTTCTGTTTTTCATTTTGGTTTTAAAATTAAATAATTAAAGAACAAACCATACATGGATTCGATATACTGGCTGATATTCTTTCCACCCTTATTATAACAAATGCATAACATAAACAAAGATTATCCCTACAATTTTATTATGTTGAGACCATACCAAGATATCCTTGACATAATGTAGTATAAAAAGATTTTGTTTTGTTATAAATAGTACTTTGAACAAAAGTATAACAAAACATATTAATGTTTTGATAAATAAGAGTCAAATAAAACTACGGACATTTTTTTAAATGTCTGATTTGTTATAATTTACAGAGTACTACTACTAATGAACATTTAAGTAAATAGTTGTGGGGGCCAGCAAAACAGAAACTATAAAAAATTCCTACATACTACTAATACCATATATCATTTCTCATGTCATTGCTATAATAATAATGATAAACAGGGCTCTCCTACTCAGGCAAATTATTATATATATATA